CATTTCACTCATGCCACATGACTGCTTTCCTGTGTTTTCCAAGCGCATTAGGCCTGAGATGCCATTTGCATCATCACACAGCAGGGGGCTTCAGCTGCCACAGCTCTAGGTTCGTCTTCACCCACCTCTTCACACAGGGAATCTGCAGAAGATTCTCTTTTTTTTTTTTTTTGGATGCTACAGAACTGCACTCCAAAACTGCTTGACATTTTCAAATAAAACGTTGGCAATGAACTTGTCCTATTAAAATATTTTAGGTTAAATCCGTAAATTTAAATTATGCCCTTCATTTTTTCATGGTATGAGTTTGTGATCTAATCTAATGCAAAATATCTGGGATTTCTAATTAAAGAAAAAAATGGGTAGGGAAATGTCATGTTAAGAACAGCCGATCAGATTGCATTCAATTAAAGATTGATATCAAGAGCTGTTGCTATACTTTTCTATAGGAAAACTATTTCTTAAAATAATAGAGCCTACAAAATGTTAAAACTAACTCTTAATTACATTGTTTAATTAAACATGAGTGCTGATACTATATTATGAAGAGAAGGGACCATTTAGCTCATCAGAATTAATTAGGACAGACCTATCATTTAATCCAACACAATTTACTATGCATCTACTAAATACAGAATAAGAAGACTGCACAGATAAGGAAGGCTCAGGTCTTGCCCTCAGGAAGCTCAAGTTTAATAATTATTTTGGCGCTAGAGCTGATTTAGGGGATAAACAAACCAACATCTTCAAATTCCACAAGCGCTTCTGACTTCAGCTTTTGAAATCTGCTTCCTTGGTTTATGACGTCTCTTCTCGATGCTTCCTCAACCTACCCATCCAGCTGCTACACAATGGGCGACTTTGCCAAAGAGGCTTAACAAAGTCAATTAAAAGGAAGGCTCTTTCTCAATAAATTTCATAGAGTGTTTGTCAGCATGATCAGATAAAACATCAATAGGATAGGTCTATGTTATTTTATTAATGTACCCAAAGTCCTTCCTAATAAATAAATCTTACTTGTCTCAATCATCTGATACCCCATGGACTCCTTGTTTTAAAAAGAAAATTGATATATATAATTTGGTATTGATTTTAGGCCACTTTAAAATGCATGCTTAGGATGTCTTCCAACATTTTTGCACTTCCTTTTGCACTTTAAGTGATTTAAGCAAAAGAAAAATGACATTATCTCACTATTTATATGTGGGGCAAATAATTTTCAATTATCTTATCTTGTAGTGGAGAAGGCAGGAAGAGGCCATCTCAGTTGATGATTACTTTTGTCATATTACGGTTCCAGAGTTCTAATTGTTGTAGAAATTGAGAAAAGAAAATAAAGTAAGCTTCCATATCTTAATACAAAGTTAGCCCAGAAACTCCTCACATTTGCAGGGAGATTTTCTTAACTAATAGAGCCTACAGGTGTCTGTTGTTTGACTGTTTAAGTCATAGTCATTGACTCTTGTGTACACAGACTCTACTTTTCAAAGTTTCAGCTGTTAATCAAAAAAGGGAGGAATGAGCTATATCCCAGGAACTGCACTCAGCGTAACAAATGCGCTTGACAAGACTAAAGTTATTAAGTGGAGAATTAAAACAGTGGGAGAAAGATGTTTTTAGAAAGTATTGTTATCAGTATGTTATCAAATGCACGTAGGTGCATTTTTATAATGTTTTCAAAAATATATAAGGGGGGGTTCGTGATGCATACTGAGGCAAGTAATATGTATGTCCAATTGATCTTTAATTTGAAAATCTTAATTTCTAAATATAACAAATAATTTACTAGAATGTCCCATGGAAAAGAAAAAAATACTAAATACCAGCATTTGTGTTGGGTGTGTTTTTGTGGAAGGCAAACTAAAAAGGAAATGAAGCTCTCCACAAAAATTAGGGTCTAAGTGTGCCTATTTTCTGGTTAGATTTTGCCTTTCTCATATTTTTGTACTTTCTAGGACTGTTTCCTTTTAACCAAGGCAGTCTCCATCTTTGCAGTGTCTCCTCAGGCATGGAAAGGGATACAGCTTCAGCCAGGGTAAGCAATTGAACTGGATCTACTCTGCAGCCAAGAGAGGTCTTAGTCACAGGTGGCAAGCTTTTGCATTATCAGTCTAAAGAAATTCATTTCTCTAAAGTGCCCCTTCCTCTTACCCCATATTTTTCCCCTATGATGAAGAAAAAATAGAAAGGGTGCTTTATAGCTTAACACTGAATCAAATGTATCTAAGTAGTCTAATACCAAGTTATACTTTGGTCAGAAACATGTTTATTTTTTATCTAACTATTCATGTCATCAAGACCCATTGGGCATGAACTGGTAGATGTAGAATAAAACGATTTAAGCCTTCTTCTTCTTCTTTTTTAATAATTGACTTGATTCTCACTATTGGCTTATCACTCTTCCTATTAAAAAGCCAAAAGATTGATTTTGTTTCTCAGAAAATATTTTTAAAATGGTGACATACAAAACACAATGAAAACACAGAGATGCTCAAATGAGTCTTCTTGTATAAAATAATGCAAGAAAAGCAATAATACAACAGATAAATAAATTGATTAGTATTACTTATGTGACCAGACCATTATAGTGCTGATAGAGCTAAAAAGAAGACGCTGCAGACCGCCTGTAGTATTTGCCTAGTCATAACTACTAGCAGGCAGAGCAGACTCCCTCTAGCCAAAATCAGTTGCTCACTAGTTCCCCACCAACTACCCTTCCTTCCCTGCCCATAAAAGGAAAGACCTGTTAGGTACTTAATCTGTGTCCAGAAAATAACGCTCTCATTTTACAACCTAACCAAGTCCTAATAAAACAGTTCCGTAGTGGGAGAAACATAAACCTGAACCCTGAAGCAATGTTTTCAGCCAAGGCAGACAAGGAAGGCATGAGCAATTTGTTTGAGCAGAAACTGACAATATCAACAAAGTGTGAAGTGTCTGTGAAGCAGTGTTTGATAAATGTGAGGCAGCCATAAACATGAGAAGACAATCCAGTGGTGTTTTGCGCCCCCTCCCCGTTCTAGTGTGGCTTTTTTTTTCCCCCTTTAAAATCCTCTTTTGGTGTATTAATATGGCCTGATCTAAGATGCTCATAAGTACACAGATATCATCAGGCTGGTGCTCTTTTCCTGGTTGCTGTACCGGACACTTATTTGGACCTGATGCTGGTGGGGCTGCTGGTTGCAGTGGTGCATTTACTCTGGCATACCCACACCCTTCCACCGCCACCCCCAGCCTGCTGTGAAAGCAGCACTGTCTTAATCACTGGTTTACATACTTAATGGAAGAGACCCATGCCCTTAATAAAAAGAGAAGCAGCTGATGGAATCTCTCCGGGTAGAGAAAGAGTAAATCCTCCTCCAGGCTGAGAGAGGCACCAGCAGACAGTTATTTTGCAGTGCACTGAATAGACAATTCACAGGGAAACGTAGAAGGCAGAGAGGAGGCGACCCCCAAGTGCAGTCCGTTGCCCACATGCTCTGTAATAAATAATCTTCTCGCACCAGCCCAGTAGTGTGTGCAATGACGTGCTGGGACCAGCACACAGATTGGCAGGGAAAACACATCCAGCGGTGTCGAATTTTCATCACAATCATCAAATTAACTGATTTCCCCACATCACACTCCCGTAGCCGGCGTGGCGCGCGCGCACACACACACACTCACACACACACACGCGCGCGCGCGCGCGCACACACACACACGCACACAAGCGCAGAAATGCAAGTTACTGAGAGGTGAAGTGGGGTCTCTGGAAGGATGTTTCAGCACGGATTAGAAACCCAAGTAATGTGCCTGCCAGCTACCAGTTTACTTGTGCGAGGGTTGGAGTGTGAGTGGTTGGAAATCGGACGAGGCGGCGTAAGCAGGAAGAATGGGCTTGTCTGCCTTCTAGGGGATTCTGGCACATGACATCTGAAATTTACATCCAACATAAAATACACAAAATTACCACAAAATGTTCTAAGAAATACCTCTGCAAGGTCAGTTAGTTAATTCTGGAAAATTTTGTGCACTACCTCTTCTTTTATATTCATAAATATGCATAAACAAAACACGCTACCGATCTATATCCCGGAGGAGGATATGGGAGAGGATGCATTCCAAGAACTTGCTGAAAGACGGTTCATTGACCTCATTTAAATCCTCCTAAGGCCGATTGGGTTTTGCATGCCTGTGGGTCTACGTGTGTCTTACTTTCAGATTCCTTTTGCCCAGGGACAAATATATTTTGATCAACTTATCTCCCCAAAATACACAAATGATGACAGAGGGGTTACAGGAGGGCAAAGATATAAGAAGAAATCAAGAGTCACCAGGCTTAAAAAAATCCTATCGACCATCGTTTCACATCCATTCTCCCTGAATCTCATACTCAAGCCACATCCCTATACTACTCTCTTCAAAGCAACAATCTTCCGCCTTACAGCCTCTGCCCACCCAGCCCTAGAATGCCGCCTCTGCCTTCACCACCACCCCAAAGTGTGCTCTCCACATGCACTCCTACTGCAAACATTGCCATTTATTTCATAACCAGCTCCTTCTTCCCTCCTTCAAAAGAGAGGGTCTAGGGTAAGTGCACCCCGGTTCCCTAGCCACTCCGCATCCAAACCCAATGATTTGCATAATCACAATGTTTTGTGCTGTTTCCCTCCACTGCGGGCACAGGGGTGCTTACATTTCACGTGAAAGGATAATATTAATTACGGAAAGAAGCGGCAGAGAGCTGATGGAAATGGTAGGGAATCTGAGCGAAAATCCCTAGCAGTAAAGTAACTGCTAGGGTGCATATATTTCTTTGCTGAAAAAAAAAAAAAGAAAAAAAGAATACCACACAGACTGAATAATAAAAAGTCGGTTTGTTGATAAAGTGGCATTGGATTTTTAATTTTTTTCCTTCCTCTCGCCCTCCTTTTTCTTATTTCTTGGTTTATTTATTGATTCTTTTTCTTTCTCCTTTTCCTTTTATCTTTTTTTTAATCTTTTTTTTTCTTTTTTTCTTTTTTAAATCCCAGACACAGTCTCCTCTCCCTTCCTAGGTGAATGACACGTCTCACAACACATTTCCCCCCCGGGGATGTTATTGCAATGCACACGGTGCTGCCGCTGCTGCTGTTCTCGCCGTCTCGGTATTTCGCTCTGACTCTCACTCACTTTTTAAAGATACAAGGATATGATGGTGGTGGGAAGAAGGGGAAAGAGAAAGGCGACCCGAAAGGGGGGCAGGTTAAAGAGATGACAAGGGATGAAGAGGGTCGGTCAGGAGCGTGATGTGGGAGGTGGCTGGTGGGGGTTGGTAGGAGGGTGGACTGTTCAGAGAAGGCACAAGTTGCCAGCCAAAAGGCGTGGGGGGCGTGGGGGGAAGGATGGGGAGTGAGAGATGTAGGAAGCTCAGGTGAATGAAAAGGCAAAAGGTGCCGCGTAAGGGGCTGACCGCTGGAAGAGCAAGGCTGAGCCAGCGCTAGAGATTCAGGGGCTGGAGCAAACTGCCACTGCCCCCTGCCGCACCGGGGAGCAGGGGGAGGGGTGGAAATCTCTGGGGACTAAGGGACTGGAAGGGGGAGAGTGGAAATATGGGGTGGAGTGGGGATGATGGGGAATGGGCGTGAAGTTGATGCTTCCCGCGGCGGGGCGGGGATTACCTTGTAGCAGGAGCCCGCAGACACTGTAGAAGCGGAGAACGGCGCTGCGTTTCCAAATCATGGTCCCTTCTCTAAAGGGCTGGGGAAGGAACGAGTGGGCAAGAAGATGCTGGTGAGCGGGGCACCAGAGTGCAGGGCTCCGCCGGTGTTCTCCTCGAGGCGCCCGCCGGACCCAAGGTCCCCGCCGCTGCGGTGTTCGAACCCGCGGACCCGGATCGGCAGTAGCAGAAGCGGCAGCGGCAAAGCACCCGCAGAATGGGGTTTCGGTGGGCGAAATAGTTTCTTCTCCTCCTCCTCCTGCTGTTGGTGCAGCCGCGACAGCCCGTCTGCCAGGCACGGGTTCGGAGCTTGCCTTCCTCTCGGCGCGCACAGCAAGTCCCAGCGCCCGCCGGGGCTGCCGGAGCAGGTGGTGCAGGGACGCCCGAGTATCGGAGAAGGTGCAGATGAGGGCTGCAAGGAGTGGGTAGGTCACGCAAGGGAGGGGCAGGGGGAGAGGGGGAACATGCAAGCAGCAGCCGCCGCACGCGCTCGGGGTGTCTCGGGGTCCTGGGAGGGCAGGTGGCAGCGGTGGAAGCAGAGCTAGTGGCGGTAGCGGCGGCGGCGGAGGCTCGTGGATGCTCGGGCTGCAGTAGCAGCAGTGGCAGCGGCAGCGGCGGCGGCGGCGGTGGCGGCAGCAGCGGCGGCGGCAGCTCTACCGAGCACCAGACACAAGGGCAAGCTCAGCGCGGCGGAGGCCCCGCCCCCACCCTGGCCAGGACAGACACCGCCCCCCGGCCAATGGAAACGCACCCGCCCACCAGTCCTGGCCAATGAGAGAAATAGATGGGTGGAGACAGGCGCCGGGAAAAACAAACAGGCTTCTCAAGGACCCTTCGGGCAGAAAGAACTGAAACCCCCATCCAGACGCCCCCGGCGGGTCTCACCTCTTTAGAGATGCCTCGCCCTAACGTGCAGAGGATATGGCCACCTTTGTTAATTAGTACCTTGCACTGGGGAAGGGTTCAGCCAATCGTCACCGCGAGGGGGCGGGGTTAGCCGTGTCCCCAGCAGGTTCTGGAATCCTGGGACAGGTCCTGGATGCGAAGTTCTTTTGCTCATTTGGACTCCTAGAGCAGATGGTGGCTGCACCTGCCCACTCACCAGCTGCAGTAGCATTCTCTGACGCTCCCAGCAGCAAAAGGGAAAATTGCAGAGGGCGTGGGAGAGACTAAGTATAGGTTGCAGAACACCTACCTGCCTACAAGAACTTGTGTGGCAGGCAAGGAAAAAGTTAGGGGCGGAGGAAATTATTCTTTGTTGTTGCTCTCTAGAATTTTGACTTATTCTAGGAGTAATCTCGGTAAAGCCTAGTGGGTGACAGTATCAGTCGTTACTGGGCACAGAAAGACCCTGGTTCAGATCCTATGGCTGTCTCTTCTTGCTTTAAAATGTTTGATGATTTTACTTGAACGTTTAAACCTGAAGCTGTCTCAACTGCAAAGCAAGGATAATAATAGTACTTAACTCTTAGAGTTGTAAGGATTACTGGAGAATGCAAACATGTTAATACAGTGCCACGCAATGTGTAAGTGCTTTACAAATGGTGGATCTAGCTATTTAGTGGGATTTTTCTAACTCAGGATAGCAGGAAATCGTAGGCAATCCCCTATAAATATTCTAACAATAGCCATCAGGAAGAGAGAAAAAGCATTACTGTATTTTCTTCAGGGACTGAGCCAAAGGTGGCCATAGAAAGGAACTTAGGAATCTGGAAAGAACCATCTCTATAAATCAGCACCCTGAAAAGTGTTCTTTAGAAGATGAGATATAAATGAGCAGGACATAAATTAATAAGAAGTTATTTCCAAATTAGCTTAATTCTCAGTCTTTTCCCTATGACCAGTTTTTAATTGGACCAAATTAGCAGATGATGGACTAGTTCGGTAGTGTTAAATCAGTCACACCATAAATAGTCTGCTTTGCTTGAGAAACTACACAATAGAAACCTGCAAGCAAGAAGAGAGAAAGATGAGAGGCAAGATCAATATTGATGGCCTTCGCTCTTTCCCATTTGTTGCTTGTTTTGCCACAACCTTTTACAAATTCAACCCTTGCCTTTTCACTAATGACCCATTCATTTCTGTGTCCACCTTTCTCCCCAGGTTCTCAAAATTAAGAAATATAATGTCCATAATAAAATGGCAAGTTCTAGAAGAAAGAGGATGTGTGGATACTTTGTTATTGTAGAAGATTGTTGCCTACTGTGAGTTTCAGCTGTTAGAGAAGTCAGTAAGTGCAAAGATACTGCTATCATTTAAACTACTGTGAGCATCAAAAGGTGAAATTCTAATTATTATTGACTCATGCTTAGGCTTTGTGTCAGGAAGAATATAATAAATGGAAATGCCAAAGAAGTTAGGGCTTCTTTATTGAAACAGTAGTGAGGGTTCCTGGGTTCTAGTGCACATCCTGCTGCTAGCTCTATGACCGTGGGCACACATTCAACTTCCCTGACCCTCAATTTCCTCAACTACAATATGAGGGAGCTGCATCTGATGATTTTTAATCTCACTGAGCTTAAAAAAAAGCAATGTAATAAAATAAAAAGCATTACTCTAAGATTGTTATATTCAAGAAAATACCCCAACTGAACATGAGTATCTCAGTGTCTCAGCATTTGTGATCAATGCTCAGAAGCAAATCATGTTTTTGCTCTTGTTGTCAACTACCAGAGCAATTAGAATTTCTGCAGTAGAATAGTCTGCAGGTTTGCTAAGCAGTACTGGTCCTAAGAACAGTAGTATCACCATTACCTGGGAACTTGTTATAACTGCAGAATCTCAGGCCCTATCCCATAACTACAGAATCAGACCCTTCATCACAAGATTCCAAGGCGATGTATATGTACACAACATTTGAGAAGCACTAGTCTTAAACACTGCTTTAATGAACACTCAACCTCAGGGAGCATTTCAGTGGGTGTTCTATGGAATGTAGAAGACTAAAGAGCCCAAAGGATTTTTGTTAAAATTACTATTTTCAGGAACCCCAGGAGTCTCCTTGTTATCACAACAAAAAAGTAACTTTTTGTAAACTATGGAACAAACCAATTAATTTAATTACACAGTTTAAAATGGTTGCAAGTTTGATTGTGATGAGAGTAATAAACTTTGCTGTGATTAAAAACCCTCTTTAGCCCACACACCCAGGGACTAGAAGAGAGTATGCATTTATTCCAGTCCTGGGAGAAAAACACTCAAATTGTGAGCTCTGGGCATTTGGATAAATACTGTCATCCTCAAGTCAAAAGACTATATAACACACTATTTCCTAAATAGTCTATTCTTAGATGCTATCAATCAATTCATTTAAAATAAATATTAAATGCTCAATGGTTGTAAGATCTTTCAAAATTTTAAAGTGTGACTATAGGTCAAAATGTTATAGAGTTGTCATTGTATGAGTAAATTAATTTCTAATACTAAAACATTTTTGTAATGCAATTACATATGTTTTAAATATCTTCAGTTCATAGTTTAGGGTTATTATTGTCCACATATGCAAGTTCTGACAATTGAGTTCATGAACTTGTTGCAACAATGTTGCTAAACTTTTTTTAGTATCAGAGGAATTATTCATTATGACTTTGTACCAACTGGACAAATAGTTAACCAAGTTTACTATTTGAAAGTGCTGAAAAGGCTGCATGAAAAAGTTAGACGATCTAAAATTTTCGCCAACAATTCATGGCTCTTGCTTCATGACAATGCACCAGCTCACACAGCACTGTCTATGAGGGAGTTTTTAGCTAGTAAATAAATAACTGTATTGGAACACCTTCCCTACTCAACTGATCTGCCCCCAATGACTTCTTTCTTTACCCAAAGATAAAGGAAATATTGATAGGAAGACATTTTGATGATATTCAGGACATCAAGGGTAATACAATGACAGCTCTGATGATCATTCCAGAAAAAGAGTTCCAAAATTGCTTTGAAGGGTGGACTAGGTGCTGGCATCAGTGCATAGCTTCTCAAGGGGAGTACTTGGAAGGTGACTGTAGTGATATTCAGCAATGAGGCATGTAGCACTTTTTCTAGGATGAGTTTGCAAACTTAATTGTCAGACTTCGTATTATCAGTGTCTCAGTAAATTTACAAATTACCTGAAAAAGTATGTGCTATTTTTACATTACTTTTAAAATGAGTATTATATGAATGACTTGCATTTCATCTGACAATGGATTTCAGAAATTGTCAAAAGATGGCATCTATCCATGCATCCCTATATGCAACAGTCTAAAATATTAAACCTCTTTGGGAGATTTTCTTTTTCTTATTTTTTTCTTCATTTTTTTGTTGTTTTTTAACATTTTACTAAATCTCAACTTTAATTTCTAACTTAGCACTTGTTTATAAGGGAAATTTGGTAAACTTAGAAATATTAAAAGAAATTAAAAATTACCTTTATCTCCTTACCTCACTCCTCCCTTGCCTAAAAGGTACATAATGTTAAAGTCCTTTCTTCCCTCTATCTAATTTCATTTCTAAAAATTAAGCATTATCACTGGTTCAGAGGAGGTTCTTTTCAGGCTCTTTAATATAATCTCACTTGTATGATTTGTGAAAGAGTAAACTTTCATTGAAAATGTATTGACCTTACAATTGGGTAATTGTAATTTGGCCGCAGGGATAGAAAAAGACAGTTCGAGGAATACAATCAATAATGTTGTAAGCTTTTCTTAGGGGGCCAGATGGACCCATGTCCTTTTGGAGAGTCCACTTCATAGTTGATGTAGAGGCCTGACGACCGCATTGTATTCCTGAAACTGATGTTGAATAATACTGTATGTCAACGATA